TCCAACTAATGCACTGCATATACAGAAACTCATCTAATGGGTGCCAGCATCCACTCCACCCCAAAGCCTAGGAGAATAGCAAGGTTTTCAAGGCTTTCCAAAACACCATCTCAGGGGAGAGCCTTACAGATCTCTGAAAGTATCTCATTCCAGAGGACAGGGTAAGTAACTGAGAAGGCATGCTTCCTGAGTTCCAATATGTGGCATTGTTTAATTAGGGGGATCCAGAGTACAGCAAATCTTCTCGTAGAGGGGGGTATGTGTGTGTGTATGTGGCTACTTTGTCTGAAAATACAACTTTTTTAAAAAACAAGAAAGTTTTTCTTTTAAATTAATGACTTTGGTGGATGAAAGCAGAAAACTTTTCTCTTTATGTCCCTCAGCAGTTCTCCATCCACAGCATTATTTGTGGGTAACTAGATCTTCCCACCATGACCCTTTTTAGTGCAAAAAAGGCCCAATTCTCTTTGTGATGTTTGGAAAATAAGTTGAAGAACAGCTAAACAGTGACTGAGTTTAAAGAAACACTACTATAGGGAAAGAATTATTTAACTAAATGAATAAGCTGGAAAAATAGAGGACAGTATTTTGAAATGTTTTTTGTATTCCTGTTTACTAAGTATTTTCAATGTACATCATATGTAGCTAGGTGGCAGCATTTACCTACATTTCCTTGATTCAAAAACTAAGCAGGAAAATCGCCAGTAAAATTCTCAGGTTTGTTGTATAGATTGTAATTAAAAAAAAAAAAAAAAACCCTGGAAGGACAGTACATACATTTTTATCTTTATATACATATAAAAATAATCTAAAAGATAATTTTTCTAATTTTCAGTTAATAATTTAAAGAGGGTATCTAAGGAATTCGTGATTTCGTGTATTTTAAAATAGGGGACACCTTGTGTTTTCAGATTAAGTTACTTTTATAAATTTTTTGTGTAATCTTTAAAAATTGTCAAGAACTTGGAATAGTTAAATAGTTACAGGTGATATACAAAAGATAATCCTATCAATTACTCAGAAATTACTTTGAAGCAATGAATTATAAGGAAATACAGGTAATCCTCAACTTTTGACTATAATGGAGCCTGCCCATTGTGGTCATTTCACTTAATGTCCCCAAATCCCACTCTCCCTGTTGCTGTTGTTAAGCAACTGTGCATTCTTTAAGTACAGCACATAGTGTCTCGGGGGGGGGGATCTCAGAGCTCATCTTCGGGAAGGAGAACCAGCCACTCTGTTCCTTGGCCTCTCTATACATTATTTTGTTGTTAGTTGCGAAGTCGTGTCCGACCCATCGCAACCCCACGGACCACATTCCTCCAGGCCTTCCTGTCCTTAAATGGAGTCCATTTAAGCTCACGCCTACTGCTTCAGTGACTCCATCCAGCCACCTCATTCTCTGTCGTCCCATTCTTCTATTGCCCTCAATCTTTCCCAGCATTAAGCTCTTCTCCAATGAATCCTTCCTTCTCATTAGGTGGCCAAAGTACTTGAGTTTCAACTTCAGGATCTGGCCTTCTAAAGAGCAGTCAGAGTTGATCTCCTCTAGGACTGACCAGTTTGAATGCCTTGCAGTCCAAGGGACTTGCAGGAGTCTTCTCCAGCACCATAGTTCAAAGGCCTCAATTCTTTTGTGCTCAGCCTTTCTTATGGTCCAACTTTCACAGCCATACATTGCAACTGGGAAAACCATGGCCTGGACTATACGCACTTTTGTTGGCAGGGTGATGTCTCTGCTTTTTAGTAGGCTGTCTAGATTTGCCATAGCTTTCCTCCCCAGGAGCAAGCGTCTTTTAATTTCTTGGCTGCAGTCCCCATCTGAGGTGATCTTGGAGCCCAGGAAGATAAAATCTGTCACTACCTCCATTTCTTCCCCATCTATTTGCCAGGAATTGAGAGGGCTGGATGCCATTATCTTGGTTTTCTTAATGTTGAGTTTCAAGCCAACTTGCACTCTCCTTCTTTACCTGCATCAAGAGGCTCTTTAGTTCCTCTTCACTTTCTGCCATTAGAGTGGTATCATCTGCATATTTTAGGTTGTTCATATTTCTCCCGGCAATCTTAATTCCACCTTTTGATTCATCTAGCCTTGCCTTTCTCATGATGTACTCTGCATATAAGTTAAACGTTCCCTTCATATCTCCAATTTTCTTGAAGAGATCTCTGATTCTCCCTATTCTATTGTTTTCTTCTGTTTCCTTGCACTGTTCATTTAAGAGGGCATTCTTATCTCTTCTAGCTATTCTCTGGAATTCTGCATTCAATTGGGTGTACCTTTCTCTTTCTCCCTTGCCTTTCGCTTCTTTCCTCAGCTATTTCCAAAGCTTCCTCAGACAGCCATTTTACTTTCTTGCATTTCTTTTTCTTTGGGATGGTTTTAGTTGCTACCTCTTGTACAATGTTGCAAACCTCCGTCCATAGTTCTTCAGGCACTCTGTCTATCAGATCTAATTCCTTAAATCTATTTGTCACCTCTACTGTATATTCATCAGGGATATGATTTAGTTCATACCTGAGTGGCCTAGTGTTTTTCCCTACTTTCTTCAATTTGAGCCTAAATTTTGCAACAAGAAGCTCATGATCTGAGCCACAGTCAGCTCCTGGTCTTGTTTTTATTTGGTGATCTTACTGACTGTATAGAGCTTCTTCATCTTTGGCTGCAGAGCACATAGTCAATCTGATTTCTGTGTTGACTGTCTGGTGACGTCCATGTGTAGAGCCGTCTCTTGGGTTGTTAGAAAAGAGTGTTTGTTATGACCATCGTATTCGCTTGACAAAATTCTATTAGCCTGTGCCCTGCTTCATTTTGTACTCAAGACCAAACTTGCCTGTTATTCCAGTTATCTTTTGGTTTCCTACTTTAGCATTCCAATCCCCCATGATGATAAGGACATCATTTTTTGGTGTTGATTCTAAAAGGTGCTGTAGAGCTTCATAGAACCGGTCAATTTCATCTTCTTCAGCACCAGTGGTTGGGGCATAGGACTACTGTGTAATTAAATGGTTTGCCTTGGATTCGCACTGAGATCATTCTGTCATTTTGGGGATTGTATCCCAGTATTGCTTTTCCTACTCTTTTATTGACTATGAAGGCTACTTCATTTCTTCTGAGGGATTCTTGCCCACAGTAGTATACCTGATGGTCCTCTGAATTAAATTCACCCATTACTGTCCATTTTAGTTCGCTGATTCCTAAGATGTCAATGTTCAGTCTTGTCATCTCTTGTTTGACCACGTCCAGTTTGCCTTGATTCATGGATCTTACATTCCAGGTTCCTATGGAGAAAAGATCTTTACAGCATCGGACTTTCCTTTCACCAACAGATGCAACCACAGCTGAGCGTCCTTTCGGCTTTGGCCCAGTCGCTTTACTCTTTCTGGTGCTACTAGTACCAGCCCTCTGCTCTTCCCCAGTAACATATTGGACACCTTCCGACCTGAGGGGCTCATCTTCCAGCGTCATATCTTTTTTCCTTTTGGTACTGTCCATGGGATTTTCATGGCAAAGATACTGCCATTTCCTTCTCCAGTGGATCACATTTTGTCAGAATTCTCTGCTATGACCTGTCCATCTTGGGTGGCCCTGCATGGCATAGCTCATAGCTTCATTGAGTTACGCAAGCCCCTTTGCCACAACAAGGCAGTAATCCATGAAGGAGCTATACATTATGATCACTCCCAAAATGGCACCTGCTTCCAGGATGGCACCACATAGCCTCTGCATAGGAAAGCCACACAGCAGAGTGGCTGCTTCCCAAAGGAGCTCTACAAAAATGATAAGTGGACCTAGCCGTGATGGAGGAGGGTGTGGGCAGTGGGAAGCAGGCTGAAGGTTTAAGGATTGTAATTTAAGGATTATCTGTATTTGAGGAGAAAATAAGTACATTTTTATTATAGAGAGCAGTGTAGAAAGTGTTTTCTTCAAATGGGAAAACTATCACATTTCAGAAGTTTTGCCAAAATTATTGCATTAGCTATTTCACAGCCAAACCAAATCTGAATTGCTTTGGTTATTCCAGTTTTTCAATTAAAAACATGTAGCAAATAGAGTAACACTCCTCCCCTCAGTAGTCCCAGTGTTTCATATGCCATTGGCTCTCCTGACCATTAGCCAATGGCTGTTGTCTCTTTCACCAGCTGCTACTGCTGCCAATGTCCTAGCATAGTACCCGTGTTTTGCCCAAAATAACACCGGGTCTTTTTATTTATTTTTTTAAAAAAAATTTTCCTCCAAAAGAGGCACCAGGTCTTATTTTCGGGGGATGTCTTTTATACTCCATCTCTGTCACCAATAGCCCTGCCCAGCCGGTCCACTTCTTCTGGCTGAAGGAACAGCTGCATTCCAGCCTGTATTTTGCAGTCAGGCCTTTCCGGAAGGCCTATGCAGCCAAATACTGAGCTATGGATTGAATCCATAGCTTGGTTCTGCAGTGGCCTTCTGGAAAGACCTGTGACTGAGAAATGCAGACCTGGTTGCAGAAAACATTGCAGAAGAAGTGGGCCAGTGAGGAGAGGCCTGGCTGCAAGGTAAGTGGGTGCGGGGCACATCAGACAACTCCACACCCCCACCCTAGCTTGATTTTTAGGTGTGTGCCTTGCCCCAAAACTAGGGCTTATTTTGGGGGTAGGGCTTATATTAGGCCCAACCCCAAAATCAAGCTAGGGCTTATTTTCGGGGTAGGCCTTACTTTCAGGGAAACACAGTATATCCTACTTGTTCATCCTTTGCCTTCTTATGAAATAGTCCCATTTCACTCCAGGTGGACTACAATATCCAGAATGTGGATTTTAATTCAGCGACAATTAATCCAAACTCAGATATTCCATTCCTGGAACAGTAGGTACATGGAATGCTTTGGAACTTTGTAAAAGAATGCATGAAATTCATTATATGGAGTTATGCATTTCATGGATATGTTGTATTCTAAAAATCTTTATTTACATGTATATCTTAGCACTACCGTTTTATAATACTGGTAAAATATATCTCTCTATAGAAAGCAACAAAGAAAACGGATAAGTCAAGGCTTGAACAGGATGATATAGATATAGCAGAACTCAATAATGAAGAACTCAAAGATCAACTCCTGAGATATGGTGTGAATCCAGGTCCTATTGTTGGTAAGCTAATATAATAAATCCTAATATATTTGTATGTTTGTATGAATGAATTAATATGAATATAAAAACTGAAGACAAAGAGAAATGTAGATGGAAAAGTGATGACAATCTGTGTTTTTTAAATATTTGAAATTTCAATAGGCAAAGTAATTATGTTCTATTGTGGATTACATTCACTTCCTCAGTAATAATTGCCCAAATCCATGTTGTTATTAACTACTGTATTATTGTGCTGATCATCTTAGATGCTAATAAAGATCAGATGTTTACAGTTGGAAATAATTTATCCTTTCAGGTTATTTCAAATATTGCTAAGAACTATTTTCAAATATAGAAGCATAAACTGCTTTGCAGAATCACTCATCAGGACTTAAATAAGAAACTGCTTGTTGATCAACATAGTATACAATTGTATTAAAATACATCACCAATAGTATGAAAGTGTACTATTTAACCACATGTGGCAAGTAAACATTTGCTAAATGAGTTAAAACATTATTTTAATAATTTATTTTATATATATACTCCCATATTTTTACTAGAATTCTACACAACATAGTTAAGTTTGTTGAAGTAGGCTTTGCCTAACCATAGCTTCTCCAAAATTTTCCTTTCTTATATTCTGCTTTCTACATTATCCATTAACAGAACTAACATACATAATATAACATTTAAATTTTAAATTCAAGTTAACATAAATTATCCTTTAAAAAGGTAGCAAAAGAGATGTATCTTGGCTGCACTTCTCAGATCAAAACTAATTTAACACAACTCCAAGGGAGTTGCAGCAAGGGAAGCAATGCAAAAAGAATCACTCCCTTGTGTGCCAGATAAACAATTTCCTGCCTAGGAACATCTTCAGAATGGTCTCTCCTACAGCTCTTAATACCAATGATCTCTCCCATAAATGTTAATTACTACAGATTGTCAGTCCTAAACTTTATATGATTTTAAGATTAATAACGATATTTTAAATTAAACCTGGTAAATGATTTCAGTATAGGATGTATGTATGTTCTCTGTAACCTGTACAGGCTTGCAGACTATTGCTGTATTTTGTACTAATTGCAACTTAACTAATATTTCAGTTCTGGGATCATTTCATATAATGTATATCGCAGGGGTCAAATTAGGATATCAAAGCAAGATTGACTATTGGCAATTATAGCTGATTCAGGAACAGCTGTAATTGAACTATTACACATAACTGTGTCACTTTCGTCACCTGGGAACCCAGAAACAAAGTTTAAGGAGCATCTTCTAATAGAGCACTTCCCCTTTTAGTGGTTTTACAGTTTTGTTCAGAAAAACTGAACTCCAATCATACAGCTATTTTCTACTGATGAATGCTACTTATATTTTACCTAGTTTGTTTGCCCACATCTAGCCCATTCATGAACTTAAGCAGTAGTTATAGGGTTGCTTTTTTGAAACTAAGTAGTAATGAGCATCAGTATATGGTGGATACCTGAAATTAACGTTGAAGATCATTCTAAGAGAAAGTGAGGCCATTAGAAGAATAATCAGACAGTATATTTGCTTTGTCCTAGAACCCAAAATATGCACTCTCAGTTGGCAGATTGTTAGATCTAGTGTTGGAATTCATTTAGACCCCAACCATTCCTCTTCATCTTGGAACTGCTAGAAGGACAGAGGTAGAAGAGATGATTTCTTCCCTCATCACAAACCAATGGCAAATTGAATGTGCTCTTGAAAAAAGCTATGGAAGATTGGATTAGGTCAATAGTTAAATGTGAGGCCATCACAAATTCCTACAGATTTGAGCTATGTTAAAAGTTTAAAAAACATTACAATATACATTTTATTCAAACAGTCATAAATCCTGGTCCAGAATTGACATGATTTGGATGACATCTGAATTGAGGACAAGTATGCAGGAGATTGAGATAAAACCAGGTACATGGGGAGATCACAACCCCTTAAAAATGACATGGAGAGGAATACCCAAAAAATTAAAATAGACTTTGAATCAATCTATATTAAAAAAAGAGACTTTATAGAACTAGAAACAAAAGGAATGTAGTTTTTCTTTAAAGAAAACAAAAAAGAAGATACAACATTAAAAAATGTGTGGGATACAGCCAAAGCATATTTTAGAGGTATAGCTATAACATACATGGCAAAATAAATAAATAAATAAACAGAAAAGGCAAAAATACATATTATTAAGGGAAGATTTTAAAAAAATAGAAATTTTAAATTTATAATTCTAATTTTAAAAAATTAGAAATATGCACTCTCAGTTGGCAGATTGTTAGTTCTCCAGCACTGGAGATGGATAATCCACCAATGGGTTGAGACTGTATTCCTGCCCAATCAGATCAGTCAGCCAAAGTTGCCACGCCCGTCCTGGACCACGAGGTCCCAGTCTTGACTGATCTCGCCGAGGAATCAGACATTCAACTTTGGCTCCTAGGCAGGTATAGTTTTCTCCCATTGGTAGATTATTTTCCAGTAGCTGAGAGTTAGGTTAACTTAAATTAATTGGATTTAATTGACTAAATTACTTAAAATTCTTACAAAAAATTCTTACCAATTACTAACTGAAATCCAAAATTCCCAGAGGGATATCCTCCTCCACTAGAAAGGGGGGGATTCCCTCAAACTCCCACCCTAACCCAAGCCCCAGTCCTCCACCTCTACGCCAATAGCTCCAAAGGGGGGGAAAAAAGCCGATTGGCTGAGCTGAGGATTTTTAATTTAAAACTTAAAGTCTTAAACTCGCGGAGGTAGCGGAGGACTAGTGGGGGGGCGCATGCGAGGGGGGAGGCAGCCGCGGAGTCTTTTTCAGGTGGCGCGAACCAGCTGGAAAGCAGAGCACCGTCTTTTTAATTGCCAGGCATTCTCTGAGGACTTTTAAACCAGCCGCCATTACCAGGGAAGCTCAGCGCATGCGCGATCTCTTTGTTTCCAATGTACGTGGAATCTGGCAATAGAGGAGGCTTTCTGTGCAGGCGCGGCAGCCATTTTGAGCGCATGCGCAGTAACCCTGGACCTGTAGCGGCCATTTTTTTGGAGTAAAAGGTACCACTGAGCGTGTGCGGCAAGCAGATACGCACGTGTGGTCAGGATTTTTTCTCCGCAGCCATTATCGGCCACTAGAAAAGGGACAGGAGTCATAAGACCCCTTATGGACCTCCCTAAACATTTAAGCAGCAAACTGGTTGAACCTCAGCAGAGCTAGATAGGTGCCTTTTCATAACTTCTTATTACAGAGCTTGGTGCCTCTCTGCCTAGAACAAGCTAAGTGCCCGTGTTGCACACCCAGCTTAATTTAAGTTGCCTTGGCTCCATCCGGATCTCGGGCTCCCCACTAGTGGCCCGTAAGTTTCTGGATTTTAGTGGTGGGTTCCAGGCATCCCCAGTCGCGTGTCTGTCCTTACCCACTGCAGTCTAAGCCGGATTCCAGGCATCCCCATTAGTGTGCCTGTTCTTATCCGTGCATGGCAATTGACTCAGACCAATTACAGAGTCTGTTCCTGAGTTCCAGGCGCCCCCTGTAGTGCGCTTGTCCTTACTCAGAGTAGACGCTCTCCTACTACCGGGGTTCCCCTATCGTGACCCTGCGCTAGAGGAGAATGGAGGAAGCCATCATTCCCTCCACTGGAGCCTTGCCTTCAACTTCTAGAGCACCGTTTCAGAGGGTTCTGAAGCCTCTGCAGCCTCTAGAATCAAGGCTGCAAAGCAGTCATCCAGGAAGGCAGACAAACAGGCAATCAGAAGGCACCAAGCCCTGGAAAAACAATTCAGAATTGAAAAGAGCCAGAGCGGGGGAATAGTTCCCGAACTACCACTGGGGGTCTCTTCATCCCCACTGGGCGTTTGGTCTACTGGGGATTCATCTCAGTCTCCAGCACGAGGCAGGATAGGTGAATTCTCATCGCTTTTCCGATCCCCCTCACCACGTAGGACATAAGAGCCTCCGGTGACCACACTAACTCCGGCACCAGCAGGGACGCAGGTAATGACACAGGAGATCCAAATGTCCGAGGAGGAGGACAACTCACCTCAGGTGCCTTCATTTAACGGCCTTTTTAACCCCTCTCTTTTTGTCACCATTCTGCGCAAGGCTGAGGCCACAGCCCATCTTGGTCAGGCGACAGCAGTGGAACCCATCACAGTCGACACGGTGGCTGATCCAAGGTTCGCCGAAAAGGTAACCACTCAACACTGCATACCATGTCCGACCCTGTTCCTAAACACAATAAGGAAACAGTGGTCAGCACCAGCCTCCCTACCTCTTACCAGCAACACGGAGAAGAGCCTATTTAATGTAGCCAGGGAGCTGGAGGGAACCTTGGAGGTACCAGCGGTGGACGAACCCATAGGACCCCTGATAGCGGACACAGCCATATCAGGAGATTTTGCAGAGGCTCTTAAGGCCGAGGACCGAAAGGGTGAGTCCGCCTACAGAAGAACACACCAAGCAATAGCATGGGCTACCAGGGCAACTACCTCCGCCTCCTTTTTCACCAGAGCCACACTTTGTTGGCTCCGGGAATTACAGGGCCGAGTTCCTGTGGAGGACATCCATACCCACCAGGAACTCAGCAAGATGGTAACAGCCACGGAATATGCGTCGGACGCGACATTCTTAGCAACCAAATTTTCAGCCAAGGCAATAGCGTCAAACATCACGAGCAGACGCCTTCTCTGGCTAAAAAATTGGCAGGCCAATGCCAAATCCAAGTGGAAATTGGCTTCAGCTCCATACTAAGGGGCCAAACTGTTTAGAGAGGCGCTAGCGCCCTACCTAACAGAGAACAAGGACAAGCGCAAGATCCTCAAACACATTCTTAAGAAACAGGACAAGAGACCCGGTTTCTTCGGAAGGAAACAATCCTTTCGCGCGGAAACCAGGTTCAATTATTTCCAACCTTTCCAACCTAGGCAGGATAGACAGGAAAGACAGACGGATAGACAAAACACAAGACATAGGCAGGCGCAAGGAAGACGACCCTTTCGGGGGAACAACCGCC